AGCCAAGCAAGCAGCCACCAAGAAACTTAAACTGTTACCTTTAGTACTGACACATCTTAACAAGTGAGTCTCATGGAGATTAATGTAGTGTTTTAGATTGATAGAGGTGATAGAGATTGTTTGTAGTATTTTATTAGTGATAGTAATAGAATGAAAGAAATGATAGAAGTGATGATGATGATGATTATCAGAGATATGATGGCTATGTTTCCCAGAGCAGATCTACCCAAGGTCAAGAGGAAGAAAATGAGGATTTTATTATTTATTATTAATATGTTTTTCRTAGGGCTGATCTTCAGTTTACATTTATTGATTCAGGAATTTTAAATGCTTTAAAGGTTAGAGGATGATTATCTATACACATTATGTATTATTTTACAATGACTGCAAAAATAAATAAACTTAGTGGTGTTTTGGATGTCAACATTTTCTAAAAAAACATGATTTTTTCATGAAAATTTTATCAGATAAAATTTTTATTAGCTTTTTCAATTTGTGAATATATTGCTCTTTTCTCATTTTTTCTTTTTTTTGTAGGATTGGTTAAGTCCTCTTCCTGACGGATCTCTTCCTCACCTTCAAATTAGAACAGGACTGTTAAAGATACTTTCATCAGTAAGACTCTTTGTATTTTATCAATAATATATTCTTTGCCAAAGTATCCTTGAAATTACACAGCTTGCAGAGTATTTAATAATAAATAGTTGTTTTTCAAACTTCAATGGAGTATTAATAATGTAGGGAAAAGAAAGACGCATTAGACTCCCACAGTAAAAACTTGGCTGTATACTTAAGATGTTTGTTATAGAGGTCTTGAGTTGGCAAGGTCACTTTTGGCAATGATTGTAACCATGTAACAATATGACATATACAATATCAAGTTGTTATTTAAGGATACTTTGCATCCTATCCCAAAGGTTTAGTTGAAAGAGTAAAGTAGTTTGTTGATAAGTAATAATGTATGCATTAATCAGTAAGTAAACTGACCTTTATTCATGTCCAGTTCCCAGCCTTAGATACCGGTGCATTGAAGATGAGTGGACTGGGTAAAGCCATCATGTATATCTATCGACATCCAAAAGAAATCAGACAGAACAAGAATATTGCTGGAAAACTGATAAGTAAGATTTTAATTGAATTTTGCTGGTTCCCTGTCTATCTTGAAAGGCATCTTTGACATGTTGCATTTTAGATAAGACAGTCTTCGTGCTTGTAGTGGTGGACACATTATAAGAAGAAATGTTATTGTTCTAAGTATGAAAAGGTTCATCATTTCAAAGGTTTTTTTTTGCAGAAGAAAATAATATGGTGTAAGAAATTCACTACTTGTTTTATAGTGCCTTTGTGTAATACTTGGTMACGTGCGTAAAAGCTAAGACAAGCATGAAAATGAATGAGGTTGATGGAATGTTATTCAGCGAGAAATATTACTACCGCACTTCTTCACGCCATTAGTAAACATGTTCAAGTGCTGAAGCAAAAAGAAACTCTCTACCCAAATCCTTCACACAGTTGATTATCATTTGAATCAGTTATTAAGTTATCAAACTATAAAGGCAACATTTTGAAGTTCTTTTTTTTAACGTCTTGGTGTTTTTCAGACGAATGGGCGCGGCCAATATTTGGTGTTACTTCAAACTTTAAGTCAATGTCTCGTGAAGAACGCGAAGAAAGAGATTATCAAAACATGTCCAAGAGAAGGCGACTCAGCTCGACTGAGGAAGGTGGAAGGACGCCAAGATCTATCGATCGTGCTCTGCAAGGAGAAAAAAAGTAAGACATTCTATATTCGTAAACATTTATTTGTTGTCTTGGTTAGATCTCATTTTTCAATGTTATTATGTATTAGGACGTAGTCTAAACAAGAAAAAAAAAAAGCATTATTATTAATTCATATGATTAATGTTCTAATATCGGTCTGATTCGTAGGGCTGCTCGTCCAGGRGAAAAGGGTTTCATCATGAGAGCACGTGTTCCCACGCCTTCAAATAAAGACTATGTTGTCAGGCCAAAGAGCAGTCTTGAGGCGCTAGACTTCCAACGAGTAAATGTAAGTTGGCAGTTCCGAAAAKAATACTATAAATAACATTAAGCTATTACTTTTCGAGTTATTGATTTTATGCCTATAATAATTTAATTTTAGTCTGACAATGACATGACTCTTACAATCCTAAAACAAACCATATAAACAATGACTCATTAATGTTGGTTTACTCTACGTTTTCAGAAAGTAATGAGCAGAGCAGATAAACAGATGAGAAAGTTCAAGGATCGAAATAAATCCAAAGCCCCAACTCACGCAGCGACAATCAGCATCGAAGGTAGAAAGATGTCTTTATAATTATCGCCTTCTTACTGTTGTGTTACATCAACGTTCTAGAACACTTGATCGTCAACGGGTGCTGGATCTAATATTCAAACTGTTTATTTGATGGTTTTTATCCAACTGTATCAGATAGCTAACTGACAGGTCCAATGSAACTTCGTCCGAACTATTTTGTGAGATAAGTTTCTGTTTTTAAGAAAAAAGTTAAAGTGAAGAAAATTGTTAAATTACTTGTGTACAAAGCTAATAAACTTAAGAAGTCAATTGGTCAGTGGTTACTTTCATGAAATATGGGTGTGTGAAAAAAGGGGCAACACCACAGGCAACCCAATCTGGACTTCGAGAAATGTAAGACATTCAACCGGCGGGTTTGTAGAACATCATTTGGTGGCGGACAGAATATGCYTACATAAAACAGTTTCTTAATGTAAATGAAATGTCGTTAAGCTTTTAACAGAGCCACTTCCAAATGGTGCCCAGTATGAAACTGAAAATGATCATTTGGGAAGGAATCTTGACAACTTTGTTTCTATTTTATTGATTACTTATCTCCATTGCCTTTCTTCAATTTTTGCTGTGTTTATTTTCTCTTTTTTTTAATTCTTTCTATCGCTTTTTAATCTGATTTTATGAGGTCGTGCCTCGGTTTGAAGCATTAACCTAACAGCCGAAACTGTCAATCAAATCACGATTTTTCTATCGTTGGTCGGCTGTTTTGCTTGTGAAATTGTAGGAGGTAATACAAACAAACATGCCATTTTCATCAGTTCGACTAACATTCCTTTCCAACTCGACTAGCTCAAACTCCTACGCTTAACCATCAATTGTCCAGGTGTTTTCAAACTCAAAGGGTGTTCTCCAATGAAATGTCATGGCTCCTGTGCTGTGCAGTACTTTCCTCRTGTTTTYTCTCGTTAAATTAAGCGTGGCAATTAATTCTAACTGGTTTTGAAAACCTCAGAACTGCAGGCAGGACGGAGTATTTTTTGTCTTTCTGGAATATTTAATCTAGTGGGTCGCATGGTTTTGCAATTCACGCGCGATAAGATAGCTGGGGTACACAATCCATTCAACGTGGTTTTCAAACTGTTCAAAGAAAATAGTTTAAGAATGTGATCTTTTTGTTATTTCATTGTTTTCAGTTTGTTAAGAAATGATTGGGCTTGACGTTGTGTGTTTTTCTTTTGTAAATTTGCCAGAAATAAAAAAACATGTTTTCGTTTATTGCGGTTTATACCTGCTGGTTTTAACTCGGTGAGATCGAATTGAAAATTTATAACCAGAAACGCGTCTTACTGGCTGATTTCAAATTTGAATTTTTGCTGAAGAAAATCAGTGCTTTGGTWATTTAGGTAAACTCGTACAGTAATGTGAGTGAATATTAATATTCTGCTCTGGTATTGAGAGGAATCGCGTGCCTTGTCAACCTGTTCTCCGGTCTTGAAAATGAGYGAAATCTCCCATTTGTTAGGACAACCGCAGTGGAGAAWATTACAAGTTAACAAGAGAACGGTTTATTAAGTAAAAGGACAAAGCAATAAAGAGATTTTAATAACAGCCAAGAAAACGGCTTTAYATTGTAGAATTTTGTTTTGATTTTGCTTGCAGGAGATGCATATTGAGTGTCATGATAGAGACCGATGAAGTTGAGTTGTCTCACCGCTGTGCCTGCTCAACGAATCCACTATTGGTTCTTTTCTAATTCAAAGTCAATGTTTTTGATTAATTTTTAATTCTAATTCCTAGGCTAATTCAGCGAAGAACAACCAATAGTTAAAAATCGAAATTATTTATCACAACGGATGAGAAGTGAGCCAATCTCTATAGTGAATTTAAGACGGAATCGAGAAGGATATCGAAAACTGGAGCTGGATTTTTACCAAGCCATGTGTCTCGCCATCTGCAAATCTCACGCAGTTGTTACGTGAATGAAAATTTTCATTTTAGTTGTGATGTAAATATCGTAGGTGAACGTGGAATATGTCAGATCGAGTCGTTATCAACGTTAGTGGCACAACATTTGAGACAAGACCAGAGACRTTGAGGCGTTTTCCAAAAACTTTACTTGGTTGCCCGACAAAACGACAACGATATTTCGACACGTCAATGAATGGGTATTACTTTAATCGCCATCGAATTGCATTCGAATACATTCTGTTCTATTATCAATCCAATGGACGACTTATTTTGCCCGACGACGTACCATTTCGGATTTTTACCGAGGAAGTGCRATTTTTTCAACTTGGCGAGCAGGCSCTGAATTCCATTGCTAAAGGAATGTTGAAACCCACGCAAAGGCATCACGCAAAAACTATACAGGAAAAAATATGGAATCTATTTGAACATCCTGACACTTCAAGCGTAGCTCGAGCAATTGCTCTATTTTCAATCTCCATGATTGTCGTTTCTCTAGTCCTATCTTGTATAGAAACCCTTCCATTTTTACACAACTGCCCCGCAAWGTTAAATAGACAACCTACTTGTAATGGTACTTCAAATAGCTCATGYTTTCAAGAATCACCTGAAGAATTGTGTCAAGAGCTAACGCTTGAAGTATTTGTTACTATTGAAATAGTSTGTTATACCTGGTTTTTGCTGGAATATATCATTCGACTTTGGTCAGCACCAGTGAAGTCRGCTTTCTTCTTCTSTACATTGAACGTAGTTGAYATTTTAGCGATTTTACCGTATTTTATCGTCCTGCTCGCTGGAAATAAGAAAATGGTTTCCTTGTCCGTGCTYCGAGTCACAAGACTGATTCGTGTTTTTCGAATATTTAAACTTACTAGATATTCTAGGGGGCTGCGAGTGTTGGGGAATACAGTTCGCGCGAGTCTCAAAGAACTWGAGATGGTCATGCTGTTTGCATTTATGACTGTTATACTATCATCAAGCGCTATATACTTTGCTGATATTGAAAGTCCAAACTCTCAATTCAGAAGCATTCCCGATGCTTGYTGGTGGAGTATTAATACAATTACAACTGTAGGTTAYGGTGACYTGGTCCCTGTCACCCATTTAGGTAGATTYGTTGGTTGTATTTGCGCCGTACTAGGTGTAATCGTATTTTCCCTTCCCGTTATGGCTCTCGCCACGAACTTTAACGCGTATCTCAAATCTGAACCTGTAAAAATTCAACCTCCGCTTGCAGACAGTAAGTCGTTTAGGAGGACGACCGTGCGGTCGTACAAATCAGGAATGCGATAAAACTGCCATAGAAACTTCCATTCAGAATTGCAAGATGCCTGATACGTCTTCATGGATATAGGAATATAATAACATTCAAAGTCAAAACGAAGATGTATTAATATTTTGAAACAGACATAGTATAATAAATTTTCGAAAACTTGTAACTTCAATAAGCTCACCAGCATGGTTTCACATTGTAGAACAGCTGGATTCGCAGTACGTTTTTACTATGAACGTGAACGACTCTATCTTGTATCCATTAAGATTGTAATTTTTATTTAAATTACATTTATTTATTAAGATTCAAGTGTGCCTTCAAGTAAACTACTGTCAAATTATTGTTATTTTACCCGTGACTACTTTTATCTTTTCTTTTTAGTCTAGTCGGGCCTTTTTTATCGTCGCGACGTAACTTATCCGACTGCCTCGCAGTTCACCCAAGATTGCGGTACAATTACCTKATTATTTTAATTCTTGTTGGCTTTCATAAGACTTAATCTGATTACAAAATTACAAAGGCCTGACTACGAAAACACAGAGAAATCTCAAAACAGATAATCGTTACTTAAAAAAAGCCTTTAATCTGATTTKGTTTGACTTGTTATTGTATGCATAACATGAGTTTCCTGGGCTTTGCCAATCAAATTTACTTTTTCTGTAATGGCGCAGTGTAAATACCATCAAAGATCAYCTTAGGTCCTTTTATAATAATACTATATGTCCATGGCCACTTTTTGTGTCGAAATTGTGTGCTAATTAAGGAAATATTGTGCGTTATTTTGAGTAKGTTCGGGTGAAGTTGTTATTGGTCATTAATTTTTTACCTTCCAGCGATTTTRCCGACAAATTTTCGTCGACAATGTGGCTTCGCTGAAAATTGTTATGGCACTTATTTGAGCGGCAATTTATACGGCTAAATAACATGGCTTAGGCAATTGGGTAACGATAACACGAAAATAATTGGAAGAATAAATATATTATATCAGCACTGTACGTTGGCCATTAGTTGACCACCATGGGGTGGGCTTCCTGTGTGAAAATCATTCGTTCACTACGGAAACATGGAAAAATCTCCGTTTGATTTATTATTTTCATGATGAGATTGGTCCTCATTATTCTCTGCCAGTAGGAAGTATCTAATTGTTTGATTGTTAGTAAATAAAACGTTTTGTTCAAATTTCAATTTAAAAAGTCAAAAAGTCAGTCCTTTTACATATTTTTTGCAAAGAATTGCGTTATCATAGTCAGGTTTTATACAAGATTTATACAGTTACTAGAATTAGTTAATAATGCGGACTAACATTTGATAAAGCACGCGCGTGCTATCGCTTGCTGTTTGACATAATGCCGAATTCATACCCGTGGATTTCATATTATGCTTAAATTTATAGAGTCTTTGCCGCTGTGTGGTGATTTCATCTTTGTAACGCTTTAAAATGGATATTTTTCGCTTCCCGGGTTTCTTCCATCCACTCTTGAGACGTGACAGWGAAAGCAGATGTTTTTAAAAGTGCTCATTTTTATGATAACGCATGGCCAAAAGGTGCTCTTTTCAAGTTAAAAAGATTATCTAAAAACGCGTTTATTGGAAATCGAAGAAAGACTACCTAATTACTTTCCGAACAGATTATATCACAATACCACGAAAGATGAATATCGTTATCAGAATAGTGACAAAGAATATCGTAGGAATCTCGCAGTAGTAATAAATACAATAAATAATAAATGACATACTTTACAAATTGGGGCTCCTGTGGTAAAAAGCACAGGAGGCCCGCTCATTGGTAGCTAAGGTAACATCCAAAATGGCGTCCGTCAACCCACTTCTGACTTTGGAACGAATGTTAAACGGTAAAACAACACTTAAAACACAGAAAGCTACTCATGGTAATATCGTAGGTATGTTATGCAAAAGATACTATTGTCGTTTTTATTTAAAAAATTGATAACAGATGAATTTTAAGTGTTAATTCAATGTTTTGTTGTGATTTTACATTTGTACCACGACAAAGTACAGCTAAGATGTGTACACCTTGMAGCGCAATTATAATTATTAGTAAGGATAGCATGCACCGGCCAAAGATATATATTTGATATAATGTTTTCCCTAATYATTTAACTTACAAAAAAATATCTGCACCAAAAATCCAACACACACTTGGTCAATAACTGCTTGCAGGATGTAGCCTTTTAAGACTTATTAAAAGTCTTTTAATGTGACTGTGTAAGCTAGAAACAACTTTTGTAATATACCTTCAATTTTCAGAAATAGGAACAGATCTTCTCAATGAAYTGCGTAGGTCAATGCAGGAAGATAAGGACAGAGCTATCCAAGAGGCTGTAAGTTGCTGAAATTATTAATACAAGAGCATTCATCTAGCAAACTAATTCCATAAGTCAGTCCAAGTTTTCTCTTGGTTAGATTTTTTTGTCACCCACTGTCCAACTCTCCTTTGAGCGACAAACTGAAAATCTGAGGAGCAAAAGCTACAAATTATGGAATYAGTCTGATAGTAGTTTTRAGGATTGTACTTTAAGTTAGTTTGGGCTGCCTAATCACATKTCCATCGAATAGTCAATGTAATAAATGCTTGCTTTTYCAACCAGAAAGCTGTTCAATCTAAGACCCATCTTGATTGGCCTGAGATATGTTTAACAAACTACMCAKAGTTTTGGGTTGTATGGAACACTCTTTCATATGTTCAAAACACAAGTGTACAAAATGTTTTGAACATTTTATGATGTTAGAATAGGACATGTCTAACAACAAACATGGGCCATGTGTTTTTTATCACATTTTTTTAAAACATTGCAGAAATCGTTTTGTTTCTTTCAACTGAGCAAGCAAGAGAGACATGATAGTGTTAGTACAGTGTGCATGTCTCAGTATTGAAAATACACAAGATTCAAACAAGTGCAGTAAAAATAACTTGTTCAAATAATTTGTTTMATTTCATGGTACTTTTTAGCTGGCTGAGGCAGAAGCCAAAGCACTTGCAGAGAGAATGAGAGCTTTAGAAGAAATGAGACAAAAAATGAATGAAGAACGTGAGCAGGCATTAGAGGAAGCTCGTCAGGTATGTATGATTAATTATTYCATGAATRTGATACTCTACAATTGGGCTTCCTGTGTTCTCTGTGTAGAGATACAGGGAGCCCAATATTGAATTTGACTGTTGCAATATCATTATATCTTCCTGGAGTATGTTTCTTTGTTATTATGATTATGATTATTTATTATTAATATTATCATTAGAAAGCTGAAAAAGAAATGGCAGAAATTAAGTACCGYTGTGAGGTTGCRGAAAAAAAGAGGGCTCGTCTTGCTTAYGAAAAATACATGCAAGAAAAGTTGGATGCTCTGAAAGAAGCTGCAAGAAAAGCMGAGGAAGACAAACAGAATGCGTTAAGAGAGCTTACTGAGAGTCTGTCGAGAAGGCTTCGCAATGAGGCAGCACTGCAAAGAGAAAAAGCTGTTGCAGAAGCACTTTCTATTGCTAGGGTGAGAAAGCATTCAATTCTYCCCCTCAGAAGTACCATGAAGAATTTCCCTTTCAAGTATGTGCCCCTAATAAACAAAAAGCTCTATATTTTTTTCAATGTAGAGCTTGTCATTTCACCACCAAAACAGAAAATCAGCAACAATGTGATGACTRTTTCCAACTAATTAGAGTTTGAAAAGTAGTAAGGAGTTGAAGATTTTAACAAATTAATGTTGCTCTCCATCATCAGTAGAAACAGTAAACTCAACAGTTTGATTACTTTGCTTTCAAGCAAGGAGAAGCTGTACATTGTGTGCATTGTACATTTTGTGTGTTGTATTTTCATACGAACCACAAAGACCCGACTTTAATGCTCAAAGATGTATCAATAATGTACAAAGTTTTTGTCACAATAATTACTTATTGAAATATTTCTTTTTTAAGAAAAACTTTGAACGACGGCTACAAAATGCAATAGACGATACTAAAAGGGAATGTGAAGCACTTGCAGCAGCAGAGGCCGAGCGCGTTGCAAGAATACACAAAAGCGAAGTTGATAGTCTTAACCAAAGGTAAACTCAATGAGTCTTTTTGTTGATGTWATTTTCTCATGTTTACTGATATTTTTTTTGCGACCAGTATCTGCTAATTTTGTTATTCACTAATTGTTATTGCATTATGCTGTAATGTTCGTGTAATCTGTTGTTTTGTTATCAGTGTTCGGCCTAATGAACGTCTTTAATTCCCTTTTTCCTTCCAGAATCGATAACCTGAATAGAACTTTGAACAATGAAAGAAAGGCGATGCAACAACTCTTAAACACACACGTCGTAAGTGAATATCCGCTTTTTATAACTTGAACTAACAAACCTTTGTTTTTTTCCACAAAATAATAAATTGTTTCTTTGTTGTTATAGGATTTAAAAGAAGATTACAAACGCTTTCAAAACATAACCAGAGGCTATCACTCTGATTTTCTACTCGGGTAACACATCAATATGAATACAGAGGGGAAGACTGGGCGTAAACTACCGATAAGTGTTAATAATCTCTAAATTATAATCATAAAGTAGAAATAATTGAAAATAATCCTAGAAATAAATTATTTTATTTAGTATTTCAAATATGGTAAATTTATGTTTCGCGGTTTGTTTTCGAAAGTAATTGAGCACATACTATTTTTTTACGCAAACACGCTTGAAGTTTAAAAATGAATTCTGTAAGGCCAGTAAAGTCAATTCCATTACCTTGTTTTGCTCTTTTAACAAAWAAAACAATATCAATTTATGACTTTGAATCGAAGTAGAAACACTTCATTTGTTCAAAACGTATTCAGGTGTCGATGTTTATTTTCGTTTATAGTTGACGTACACGGTGGGTTGTATCCTTGGAAATCATTCAACTATCAATAGAAATATAAAAACGCTTTTATGGCTTACGTAAATACAAACGTGCGTTCGTGACTTATCTTTTGGCTATCTTACGTAAAGGGTATGATACACSGTATCAGTCGTTGATCGTTTCATTTTACCGTCCCCTTCGCTGTCTATCTTACGGAAACACGTAAAGGCGAAAAACGCTTTCGCCTTGAGCGATTTATAGATCATTAGTTTATCGCTGAGCACGATGATAGAATGCGGGCTATCTAGTGCACCCGTAGGCGACTCATTTGTGGCAAAAGTAGTCTTAGTTGTCAAAGTCGATGTACTGTTGTGTCAGATTGGAGATTTGATAATTGATTCTTCGGTAAATGTTGATTTTGCACTAATAATTTTTTTTACTCGTATTTGCTTTACTTTATGAAAATGAATTGAAAGATGTCAATTCTGAGTTGATTTATTTACTCCTTTCGTTTTCCCGTTATTCTAATCATGAAAACAAAATTTGGTTGTCGGGTTTGGCTCACGGAAACGTCATATGACAGTACACACAAGAAATAAGATTGGATGAATGAAATAAAGTGATAAAATTAAAGAGGATGATGAGTGGATAATGAATAGACAAAAAGGCGAGCGTTATAACTGTGCTAGTTATATTTCACCTTATGAACCGAGGTTTAAAGGCAGATACTATAAAAGAGAGGCACACGATCCCTTATTTGGACTGATTACTAGATCGAGAGAAATGGTTATATCACGTGATAAAAGGCCTTTGGGCACAGAAAGTGTGCCGCAAAAGAAGAAAACGTTGTATTTTCTCAGAATCTTTCAAAATTCGAAATCTTTAACACTAAAACTCGATATAGGAGAACAAAATAAACTCTCCGYCTGATCTCTGAATATTCTGGATGCAGGCTATTTTTAGTATTGTGAAGGCGATGCCTAGTAATGATTTTATTAGTTCGTTATCATTYTATGAATACGGAAGCTGTGCGATAACCCCAAAGTATTTCTCATTTATGGCATTTTTCAGGTCTACATTTCCACCCCTCTTAATATTARAAGTAAAGGTGCTATCAATCAACTGTTGGTAGAACMTGAGCAGCGTCAAGGACCGGCTTGTTTTAATGAGTGATTGGATCAGTAGGATTTTTGTCTCGATTATTCGTTGAGATGCCTGTGTCTGGACCGAGATTTTTCGAAGCATGCCTTGGATTGTTTCGTGTACTAAGCACAGGTAGCCCAACCTGTATAGTTGTGTTGATTTAGTCTAGCGATGTATGTGACTCAATCAGACCTTCTTTTATTACTTTGAATGATAATCAAATCCCTTTTAAGGGAAAAAAAACTTGCAGAGTGCCTTTTTGAAGTATTGATATCCCTCTCCCCAACATTCACTGACACCATGATTATAAAGAGAGGTTGAAAGGTTTAATAAAATCACAGTAAAAATCAACCTAACCACGTGAACAATCGAGAAAAGATGGATTAAATTGTCTGTCTGAGAAATATGTCCACCTGTTTCCTTACTTGATAAGTTGTCCGCCAGAGACGACATCTATGTTGGACTGTACTAGTATAGGCTTCACRATGCTTTTTCACAGAAATTAATTAACACTGGGAGTTTTTTTTATAGTCGGATTACATAGCAATTGTTCTTACGCCGAAGTTCATTCAGTCTGACCTTATTAAGAATGTCAAGAGTCCACTTTTGAGGCGAACCTTCTACAGCAAATCTTATTCGTGATGATTGATCGTTAAAACCTCACAGCATTAGAAGTAATATAAAAGATTAAATCTCCGACATAACTGTCGCATGTGCACAATATTAGAACTACATCAATAGAACTAAGTATTTTACTGTCATAATATGACWTATTGACATTCACAACCTTTGCTTGCTGTTGTCTCCTAAGATACTAATGTAGAATTCGCTCGCATAGAGAACATTTTCCCTAAATTTTTAAAATATATTTATTGAAGTATTGTTGACACCATTTGCGTGTCGTACGCTCCTGAWAAATACCTGCCCATCGCTTTAATGTCTTTAACTACCGATAGCTTTGATACTATACACGTAGTATGTGMTGTATTAAGCAATAGTCTTGCTGTTCGTGTTTTCATACTACGGTTTCTTTTGCGCAAATCATGATATTTTCATCTGGAGTGGACGGTGTACTCTTATCCATGCCATTGCTTGTGCGAAAACTYTTGAATGTTCGCGAAAAAACCGATGTTTGCATATTGGAAAAGATTCTCTTATCGCACGTGAAGTACAGCTTAAACTCTTCACGAAATCGTTCATGACATATGGTATATGCCACAGGATTCGTTGCGCTATTTGCAAATAAAATAATGTTTGTAACCGCGACCATGTGCCAAAAGTGTTCGTAGGAATCGCCCTTACCAAAGTCTAGCCAAATCCACATAATATTGTTAGGAAGAACACATAACGCAAATAAAACAGTTACGATGATAAGCATGCGGACCACTTTGGTGGCATCTTCTTGYTGTGCACGGTAGAGAGCCGCGTTAGTCTGGTGCGGGCCGATACATTTTCTAAGTTCAATTCCAATTTTTACATAAACCGCACTAATAACAGTCAATGGAAGTAGATATTGGAATACAAAGATACTTAATGTGTATGCTTTACGGTATGGACCAGTGTTTGGCCATGTTTCCTCGCAGTAATTCCCCTTAATCCCAAGCACCATGACGTAGGGAGTACTTAAAACGAGAGAAAGCAGCCATATCAATATGATGACGACTGTTGCATTTCCTTTAGTCATCTGCCTTCGCAATGGATACACAATCGCCCAAAATCTGTTCAAACTTACAGCGGTTAATGTGAAAATAGATACAAATAAGCACATCGTTTGTAAAGGCCAAAGTATCTTGCAAATAAATGGTCCATAAGGCCATATATATCCATTCTCCTGAACTGGAATATCAAAAGGAATGCATATGCATGTTACTGCGAGGTCTGCAATGGCAAGGTTTAAAATAAAATAGTTTGTTACAGTTCGCATGCGACGACGTCTCGCTATGACTATACAAACTAAGGCATTCCCGATGATACTGATGATGAATATTAACGCGTATAACGATAGCTTGACGATTTTGAATGTTAATGATTCACCTCCTTCAGAGGTGGCTGCATTTATCGCGGAATTGTTTTGTGTTTGGTTGGTATACATCTCTTTCGATTCTTGTACAACCACAGGCGTTTGCTGTAACTAATGGCTGCTTCCAGGCTCTGTTTTTCAATCTAATTTACCACGTCAAGGCGTATCCTTACAGATAGCGTCTGTTTTGAATTAATACAGTCTTGCTGAAATCAAGAATAATAAAACGCTTAGTACTRTGAATGGTTTGTTATTATTTCAATTTTTTGTTTTTGTTCACCAAATCCATATTTYAATATGAACATTTTTGACACCTGTCATGTGTTAGAGCTGTAGCCTTTATACACTACTTATAAATTACTTTTTAAACATCTTTGAATATGTTTGATAAGCAAGTTTTTAAGAAAAAATTCGAAATATTTCTCTGCATTCTTCGGTTAACGCTTTTTTGTAAGAAACAGTCATTTTTGTATAAACTCCATAGAATTTTCGAAAACAGGTGTACCGCACATTTTTCGCTGCTAACTATGGCAAAGTTAACCACAAAACATGATACAAATTATCATATAGGTTTTTAAAACAAGCAAATGACATCGTTTTCGCATGAACAACAAGTCTGTACAGTTGATGTTGTGGTTAAAATGGTGTAGAAAATCTCACTGGTTGTGGACTCAATATTGGAGTATATAACAATTAGTGATATTCATATCAATTCATTTTCATGTTTGCCTTCTTTTGTTCCACGTCTTTTTAAAATCAAATACGACAGGAAAGAAAACGCTAGTCCTTTTTTCTTTCTKACAAAAATATTTGCAAACGTTTGCAGTTGAACACAACATTCATACTCCTTGCTTTTCTGAATTATTTTTTTTTCTACCCTTGTTTTATTAACAAATTTGTTGCGCTAAACCGATGTTCTTAAAAGCTGTAGTATTYTACAAAAACATGTAAATTATTTGATTTCTGGTAAGGTAAATATATATTGTTTTATTCATATTTGGTACCAGTATGTCGTCGATATTAATTCGACGTTCTACGACAGATGACTGACACAAAGAATGTTCATAACAGGCTTTAAATTAAGAAATAGATTGCTTTCACGAYGCATTAATTACACTTGATAATACCAAAACTGATCGCACAAATRGTCATTTAATCGCTTCCTTTTTGAATTGTCTTGCCATCCTGACAACTCATTATTATTGTTCTTCAGCTCRACATCAATCAAAAACTCTTTTTGAATTATAAATAATATCCTTGCGTATGAAGTACCTCCAAGCAATGATAAATGTATACTCTTAAGAATTATTAAATCACAACCAGAAAATCTACCGCAATCTCGTCCACACCGGTTTAGCATAAAAAAGGCTTTCTTTCCATCTTTTCACTAAAGAATATCAGAGTTTTTACAATGTACTTTCTTGTTGAAAAACGATGAAACTCCAAGAAAGTACATTGTAAAAACTCTGGCCTTGGGATATTTTGCCAAAAGTAGATGATATCATCCGTCATGTGTCCCTATTTAACACCACTAATTACACTAAAATTGCTAATGTACGTTTTCTTTTTGTTTTCAATCTTCAAACAAAAGTTCATATTAAGTTGTTTATTAAAACTATATCCACACGAGCTGTCCCACTAGAAAAAACCTACGCAATTACAGTTTTGTATAGGAAAAAAGTGTTGATATATGATAATTGCCGTCGATCGCGTGGTCATTGTAASTTGTAATGCATATTATATAGCGCTTTCCATTAGTAAGTTGACTGGACAGACTTAAAAAGACTGAAGAATTCATGAGATTCCACCCAGCATTCTTGTAAAACACTTTGGAAAACTGCGGAAACCTCTCAACAAAAGAACTTATTTATCTCTAATTGGAAAGGTTTGGCTGGTAACGTGGAAAGCACCCYAAGAGACCGTTTCAATAATTGATATGTCTTACTTAGTACTTCGGGTCTAACTATCGCRGGACCAGATGCTTGAATTCAGATACAAGCTCTCGAAAAACCCGTTGAGAATAATAATTTCATAATAATCTAGTTTTTATAGGCTATCTAGTTCATAATGCTACACAAGTCACCTAATGATCAGATGACCTACGAGGTATTTTGAACAAAATATCAAACTCGGTAATAACAGATGAATTAATTAAAGAAGGACGACGTGCGATTCTATGTTTTTAGTTAAATAGAAATTCTATGGAAGTATTCTTCATCATCTGGGACCTGTCCAAAAAAAAGCATTTTTGCACTGTTTTTTGAGGTTGACATGAGAGTTTCCAGATCGACTGGATTGGGTCATTTTTAGTGCGAACTCAGTCCAGATTTTYGATATTCGAATTGCAGATTTGCAAAGGTGAAAAACGCGGATTTGAGGAACTTGTGAATTTAGGAGATTKTCTGGCGGATTTGAATGATTAGTGGCCCACTCCCGGTCCAAAAGAAMCAAMAACGCATCTTTTYTTCGGACGGKTCTCCAGWTCCAGAATGMTGTSTATACTCTTACCAAAAAAGATCCGTGTAAAGGTGTTTCACGTCTTCTTCAGTCACAATTACTAGAGTCTCCTTTGCACGTCAACCTATGAAAACAATCACCAAGATGTAGTAAGCTGAACACAATTTAACCATCTATATTCAAATAGATTGCTCGAAGCTGATCAAATATTTGCTTATGTATTTGACAAGCTCGAAAACAGAAGCATTCATCATTTCAAATAGAAATTMAATTTGTAATTACATATTGGAAATCATTCACTGTGTGAGGGATAATTTGATTAGTTGAAATTCTATTGGAGCAATTTATACCTATTCACGAAGATGAAAATGTGTTTTTGTACAAATTGTGTAATCTCACGACATCGCCGAAAATTTTGATAACAGCTATTTCTATTCGTGTGTCTAATGACAATATGAAAAGGAAACCGTTTTTTTTATGGGACCTATATTAGCCATTTAGCAATGGTACAAACAATATGGCGAATACAAAAATGCTCAACTTGTTTGAACGAAGACTTTATGCACAAGTTATCCAATGGATCCAATATGWTCTCAAGTTATAAGTGAAAATCGATTACTGAAAAGTGAATCACAACGAATTTGTAAGCCATAAAAATGACAACTAAGATGCAGATAGAATCCTCGTTATGCCATTAAAACCTTAACGAGATCCATGAAATCGATTGAATGAATTTCTCTTTGTACACGTAACTGTTGTTGTACAAAGAGTGTATGAATTTATCTTGCAGGTTCGTATTTAATCCTTTAGATCAATACTCTTGTACGGCAATTAGAACAATCTGTGTTTGAGTGCACTGCTCGAACATTTCAGTCAGGATAAACCAATAGCCTTATTTGTGTAAATAAGTTTATTTATTGGCACCTGTTTCATTGATATATCTCATACGCTTTTAACGATACATTAGAACTTGTCTTATACCTTCGTAAAATAGACAATAGCTAAAATGTAAATGAATAATRAAAAAACAGTTAGTGTTCAAAATCGAATCTAAATTTCCGTTTGCTTGAGAAATGAGTGGTGTCGGCTTAATTCAAGCTAAAGAGGAAGAAATTATAATATAATAATAATGAAAAAGCGACAATAGGAAAGTGATCATGAAAAACTTTGATAAAAATATATTTAGTCGAGTAAATGTAATCAGATTCGATWTTGTTGGYATATGTCAATGCACAGCAGGCCATTAGTATTCGCTAGAACCATTGTACAAACCAAAACTATCAAAGTCAATGAAAAAAAGATAATACTCRAAATAATTGGTCAAAAAAATCCCTTTCATTTCTGCCGCTAATGTTCATCGTCGATGTGAGAAAAGCCATCTGTGGCGTAGTACAAATGACTGCTTGAGCTCGTTAATTTTCAACGATGTCACTCCGTAATMACCATATCATTTGTAAACATTTCACAACTAACGTGTTTTCCTTTGTAGGTAGCAAACCTTTAATCCCTAGTTGATTTTAATGTCGCCAATCAACTTTGAATACAGTGTTGCCTATGAAATGGATCTCATTTATAAAATAGTGAGTCTGAAGATAAAATAACTGCAGGGGATCTCAATATAGCTATCGTATCCAAGGCGCGCTTTGCAAATTGTTATTGTGGCCATTGTACTCCAATCACTGTCCAATATACGAGAAACTAGTGTTTTTACCGGGTACAAAGATTTAAGTCGAATATATGCCGAATTTACGACGAGGAAACGCCGAATTTCGCCGAGGAAATGCCGAGTGAACGTCGAGTGAAAAGGAAACAATGTAAAGCAAATAAAAAAAACATGAAAAGTTTTCTTCAAGTATTTCCATGTGAGGCACATCGTCTAATATTTCATATCTTTCATTCGACTTAAGATCATCACGCGGGTCCACTTCACTACTCCATCACCACACACCACGGAAACAGGCAAAATACATGCTTTCTCAGACACCGATATTACAGCTGGCACCGTTAATAATTCATGTAGCGAAGGTTTTAAGGTTTATGTGATTTCTTATTGAATAGAATGAGGCTTTGAAGGTAGGAAACACACCGGGCGTGCTTTACAGAATCTTTGCTGAAAACATTGCGGGAGCCGAGAAAGTACATACAACGTTGCATCACGAAAGCTTTAAAAGTGATAGTGGAAACATGTAGAGGACGTTTTGGATTGAAATATTTTGAATTAGTTCATAGATGAATCAGGACTTAATGTTTCTCTTTGAAGAGTAAGTTGTCCCGAGACGGTATTCACCAGGCCACATCGCCATWCAGTGTCAAGTACCCAAGTACCATATAGCCTCAGTTGGAGAGCGATTTTTAAACCGTTTAAAAACCACGTCTTCTTTCAAGTCATTCTTTTCCTTCGTTTCTTTTTCATATCTCATCATTTMCCCCTTCTATGGCATTGTCTGAACAATAGTTAACAATAATAAAACGATTTACGATAAAATCACAGTTTATACTCAGTTAAACGATTGTCASAATAAATATCGGTCAGAATCTTTATCTTCTCTTTTCACTCCAAGCTTTTAATTTGATAAGGAATTAGAAAAATAAGGCGACCAGATCTAACTACGGCAATTAAAAATCAAATTTCTTCAAACATTACTTGATAATACATGACATCGGATGATAGCAATAAGTATTCACGTTTACTAAGTTATATTCTACTTACTGAGTATTTGACTTCTATTTTTTGTCTAAATGCATTCCTGACAATTTGAAACGCTCCTTCTCAAATATTGTTCAGCGGTAGCAACTGAATCGAGTCTAGAAATAAATGGTTTTACGGCACATAGTGCAATAATATTATTGTAGTAAATTGAGCTTGATTCATATGGTAACTCACCCGCTGCCATTGAAACCCACAAAACAAATGAAATAAAGTTAAAATTCAAGCWAGAATTGACGCAGTAGATGGAATAACGATAGCATCGGTCGATAGGAAATGCTTTGTAGTATTCGCTGCGTGGTCACAAGTTTGTTTAAAATTTTATAGAGCACTTGGACAACTATTGAATGACTTTYAACTTTTCTAAGAACCCCCAAAGGGATTTTGAATGATGTTTCGCTAATATGTAGTCGAGAGAGGGTAATTGTGATATTAATGCTTTTTGTACAGCAGCAAAGGGCCTCATCATGTCTTAAGGGATGATGTAAAGGAGATTTGTCCTTAAGCTACGAGTTTGTTAGCGATTCTTATCATTTCGTGCTGAGGCTGCCTGATTATRCTCTTGACCAGTTGCTGTAATTGCGTTTTAAACATTGATAAAAATATAAGTTTYCTTACCTAAAAGCGCAAATCCGAATGCTGAACCGTCACCGCTGATGAATAGTGGTTATCCTGCGCGATCTTTTTGTAGAGAAATCACTTCAACCAGCTATTATGAATATCTACCAATGTTTTTAAAGAAGACTTGAAATACTTTAAACAGTAAATAAGTTTGAAGGSAAATGTCATTAAAAGTATCATTTTCCCACGAAAAACTAGAACCCTTTGTCAATACACTTTAGGAGTGTCAAAGTAACCCTTGACTATCATGATAGCATAGATGCTGTGCGCTCATCACATCGCGACTCACTAGTTGCTCTAACCTTTACAATTTTGCGATTGACCTTTTCTTGAAATAATCCTTATCAAATTTGCGTGATTTTTTTGGTTGTAAAGTAAGAGCCTGCGGTGATCTTGCAGGCTGATTATAAAAATAGTGTTGAACTTCAGAAGGTATATTGTTCAGCGACAGGAAGCATGGCTACTATTGCGATAACCCTCAAATGGTGATGACTGTAACCCAACAGAGCAAATGAGAATAATCTTTGAAAGGGAAAATTAATTAACGAGAAAAAGYAAGACGGCTTGGACTAAAAAGAATTGCAAAATACTAGAAAAATAAAATACTAGAATCACAATAAAGTTAAAAAAAATGCAAAAGATTAAAATAGATAAATGAGAGCGAATAAATAAATGAATAGTGGAAAAGAGGACGAAAATGGACGAGAGCAAAAAAAGTCAAATAAATCACAGAAACCACACACGCGCTGAAAAAAATACATTTTTAAGCACATTTATAAAAGGCAATTAAAATTTCAAAGATCCAGAAGTTCATCCAATTTGGTTTGATAATTAAGTTACTTAATATAACTAGAATCTCTTGGATATATATTTTATAATAACACTTGGAAAAAAGTCATGAAGCACTAACTGCAATCTYCCTTTAAATCTCGTTAAGATGAAAAGATTGCCACGTTCGGCATCAAAAGAATATCAGAAATGATSKCSRAAAAAAACTGAAAGAAGGTAAAAAATCCTTKTAATTGGATTTAAAAAAGGTGCTAATCACAGCTCCASTGATAAGAATAAACAAAAATTACCAGATACTCGTAAAGTAATTTCACAAAAGTTTTACCTCATTTGATACTTCGATGTCAAGTAATTTCGATTACTTTATGAATAAACATTATTCRACAGATAAATGTGTMRAAAAGTACGAGCCATTAAAATATCWGCCTCGCTTCGCTTTTTTTCCGGGATGATTTAATTGTGGGAATTAGCAAGGATGAGGMCTGCTAGCACGAGGACATAATATTTATTAACTGAAGCGTAATTGTCCACCGCAAAATCCGATGTCTTTCCGTTACCAAAAATHAACGACTTAAAAACAGATTCATCTCAACAGCTGCAAGAAATTCCAGGATACTTCTATATTGTTTGAGCATAATTGAAAGACTTAAATCTGCAAGTGAAATGAATAGCGGCTTTTACGTAATTCTGSCCTGACTGAGAGCAAACAATCTCCAACCAGCACGAATAAAAAAACAAATTTGTTTTTAGGGAAAAACAGTAACCACGTTGTTACTATTCATAACATGTCGCTGTACTAGCTAACTTGAGGTGTTTTGATTTACCCCTAACCAGCTGTTTGAGCTTTCATCGGTTAAAAAGTTAAAACTTACTTCTCATCAGTCAAAATGATTSATTATRAATCTCCGTATGTTACTCTACCTTTGTCGAGGTCTTGGAGTCAAGCAGTCTTCAAACAATTCCTTATTAATGCCCTTATTAATCGATGTATTTTGTTTTGGAGCTTGTACTCCCCGGCAATGCTTTTTTCAGGAGCTGAAACAATGCGAGTTATCACCTATTGATCAGTGACGATATCGTCGTCCTTTTGCAGCCGCAAATGTGTTGAACTCATTAGAGGGGATCTTGTCAAGGACATACGATATTAGGGTATTATGGTCTATAATTCTGGCCCTTGAAGTGTTAACGCCATATRACAAGGTTTTCTAGGGGTGCGTACCTCACCAGCCTGATTTGGAATTTCGAAGTAATGATCAATGTTCCTCACATGACTCAACCCCTTAGGCTGAATCAATTAAATTTGAATGATGGAACGTTCTTTATCACAATTTTGTGGTTTACTATGATTAAGTGGTCAGTTTTTCTATAAAAACAAGGTAATCGTGACTGCCTTAATGGACGCTTTGAGATAGCAATGAAATGCGAGAAGTAAA